AAACCATTTCAGGTGACTACCTCTTGAAGCTCATGGAGAGAATGCCAAGAGTGTGCAAAGCAGTAATCAGAGCAAAGGGTGGCTATTTTGAAGAAACTAGAATATAAAACATGTTTTCAGTTATTTCACCTTTTTTTGTTAAGTACATAACTCCACATGTGTTCATTCATAGTTTTGATGCCTTCAGTGAGAATCTACAATGTAAATAGTCATGAAAATAAAGAAAACGCATTGAATGAGAAGGTGTGTCCAAACTTTTGGCCTGTACTGTATGTATACTATCAGATATTAATATATACTTTAAACATATTGCACCACAATAGCCGTAATTATTATTATAATATTATTACTTTCATTAATGTTGTTGTAAGCTATTATCATTACTGTCTGTCCTGCATCTCTCTCTGTCTCTGTCTCTGTCTCTGTCTCTCTTTCTGTCTCATTGTGTCATACGGATTACTGTTAATTTATCATGTTGATCTGTTCTGTATGACATCTATTGCACGTCTGTCTGTCCTGGAAGAGGGATCCCTCCTCAGTTGCTCTTCCTGAGGTTTCTACCATTTTTTCCCCCGTTGAAGGGGTTTTTTCTTATCCGCTGTGAGGGTCCAAAGGACAGAGGGATGTCGTATGCTGTAAAGCCCTCTGAGGCAAAATGTGATTTGTAATACTGGGCTTTATAAATAAAATTGATTGATTGATTGATACACTGTAAATTAATTCCCAATTATTCATTAGGACTCATCATCTGGGGGACATGAATTTCTTGGTACTGCAATTTTTGGCAATCCATACAATAGTTGTTGAAACATTAAAAAAAAAAAAAGTCAACTAATGGTGTGTTAAAGGAAAAGCCTGGGGATCACTGTAATCGGCAGGATTTATTTTCTGGGTAACATGAATGTCTATACAAACTTTCATTTTTCCATCTAATAGTTATTGAGATTCTTCAGTCTGGACCAGTTTGCCCACTTCTGGACTGTATTATGTTCTTTCCAAACCCCAGAGTGGAGGCAAATGACATTTTGAATGGACGAATGGACAGATGGATGGAAAAATGGATGGAGTTCTTTATTACTGCCAGTGGGAAATTTTATAATTATAGCAGCTTAGAGATACTAGAATTACTGCCCCACGTTTGCATGCCTCTGTACACCAGTCATGTTTCTCCTACAGTATACATCCGTATACTGTACGCATCAGTATACATGTCTCCCCTTCTATTCCTGAGATATGATGTTGAGTAATGGCCAGGAAAGTGTTTCTGCAGAACATTATGATGTCACAGTGAAGTTGACCTTTGACCTTTTGGATATAAAACATCACCACTTCATTATTTTAACCTATTAGACATTTGTGTAAAGTTTTGTCATAATTAGTATATTTATTCTTGAGTTATGGACAAAACATATTTTAGGAAGTCACACTGACCTTGAACTTTGACCATCAAATTCTAATCAGTTTATTCTTCAGTCCCAGTGGACATGAATGCCAAATTTGAAGAAATTCCCTTGAGGTGTTCTTGATATATCATGTTCACATCACAAGGATGGGACGAACGGACAGACAGACGGATGGACAACCCGAAAAAATAATGCCAACCCGAATAACACAGATGTACAAGAGGTGGGCTCATATCACCCAATCTTTCTACTGAATCTATATGGAAAGTTGTTTGCTAAAATCTTAGCCAAAACAATGAACCCTTTAATAGACAAATTGGCGCATATGGACCAAACGGGCTTCATAGCCAACAGAAATTCTACCTTTATTTAAGATGCCTTTTTAATATTATCTACACAAATAGGAAAGGAAATGAAGACCTGGTCATACTTGGGCTCAATGGTGAAAAAGCATTTGGTCAGATTGAATGTTCATATTTATTTGAGGTCCTACAGAGATTCAATCTTGGGCTTAACTTTCTCGCATGGATCAAACTTCTCAATAAGAATCCAACAGCACGAATTCTTACAAATCAGACACTATCCCCTCCCTTCAAACTGCGAGAGGAACAAGACAAGGCTGCCCTCTATCGGCTTTAATATTTGCCCTTGCCATAGAGGCACTTGCCTAGAGTATTTGATTAGACAGAAAACTCTATGGCTACGATACATGGGAAACAACAAACAAAATATTATTATGCAGATGATATTCTTCTATAACAAAACTGTAAACTAGTATATCAGCAGTTTTAGAAAAATGTAATTTATTTGGTACATTTTTAGGTTACAGTATTAATTGGAATAAAAGTATATGTATCTGGACTCATTTGTTGCAAGTCCTGAGTCAAGTTTTTAACATACCAATGAACTGCCACTGGAAAATGACTGAATCAAACCCTTGGGTTTAAACTCAGGCTTGGGTTTAAGCGGGTACATAACAAGTAAAAAAAAATTCTCTCACAAGGAACCACCTGGGTATCTCTTTACGATCCGACTGATGCGGCTTCTATGACTGAAGACAACCTGTTTCTATAGGACAGCTCTGCTCCGCACCATGGACTGGGAGGAGCTGCTCAGACAAAATACTCTCACTGTGGTGTGTCAGAGAGGAGGACATGTGTAAGACAAAAACAGAAGTGTTTATAAAGTACACCCTGCTGGCTCTTGGAGAATGATATCAGGTATACAATCATCCAGCAAAAGGAAGAGGCTGCAAGAGTGTTCATGGCAGAGAGACACAGCAAGAACACACTACAGTCACTTGACAGTTAATGTTTTTCCCCAGATAAGCATCCCAGACAGTCAATACTATTTGTGTGAACAGATAAACAATCTCTGTGCTCATGTGTGATCTTAAAATATAAAACATCTTCCACAAATGTCACAAAAAAACTATGTATTTAGCAAGTATAAAACACAGCTGCAAATACACAAGCAAGTTCCAAAAATTAAAACACAATATCTGTGAATACATTTAATTGATTTACAAATAAATGAAAAGCATTTGTGAATATTTTCCCCAACATTTGAAATTTTGGAATATATATTGGTGAATCCAGATTTTATTTGTGAATCTCAATTCTACAATTGCAAATTTGCATTTTATGGACACTGCATATTTTTTGCTAGTTCACATATTTTTTCTGTATTTGTGGAAGTTATTTAATGTATACAGGACCTGTCGATCTGTTTACACACATAACATTTAGACAAATCTATCTCCATGTATGCACTGTTCCTACAAGTACCCTCATGCTAACTTACAATTATTTGACCCAACAGGAGTATCTTCACTACCAGGTCACTACGTACACAACTTAAATGGGCTCTAACTTTATTCTTATCCAGAACCAAACTCCTAATTTCATGAACGGGGGCGGAAGACCCTAAATCGAGCACAGATCACACACAAATATAAGCATGTGTGCACAAATTAACCTATCTCACTGCAACCCTATGTGTAACCTCACCATAAAATACATGTTACCTAACGGTAACATTATCCGTAGTCCCCTCATAAAGTTCAGCTATAAGGTCCATACAACAGCTGGGTTATTAGGTAAATGTTTACTTAATGACCACAGTGCTTTATCGGCTATGTCACTGTGTTATTAATATTTTGTTGGCTTTAGCTACGTGGAGGCTAGGTACAACAGTAACCAGCTCATAATAACTCTGCAGCAAACTTACCTTGGCGGTGTTTTCCGATTTAACGCGGCGGCACTGCAGAAGGCAATGCCGGTGAGACAGCAGCCGTCTGCTCGAGGTCAAACAATGCAACATGTCAAGCCCAGAACCGAACTACGGTCACTGACACAGGCTTTTAAGTAGCTGTCAGAAGCTTGGTCACGACCAAATACACGACTTCCGGTTAAAACATTTCAGAATAAAACAAAACTACCAAGGATCTGAAACAATCGCAAACAGTAACACATGCTTTGGTGTAACATTGACAGTGCTCGTTTATGTTTTAGTACCTCTCAGGTTAATCGTTTTACTGGTGACCTCACGCCTATGTTTTATTGCATCTTTTACTATTGCTGTTTGAGTAATGACAAGTAGGCCTACTTAAAAAATATTTTAAGCTTTTGTCCCACGTCATTTGTTGTATATTGCAGTGCAGTGTTATAATTCTGTCCAATACCATACTATGCACTTTGGTTTTGGTTTTGTTTGTGCACTTTAAGTGGATGCTGTCTGATAGTTAAATTAGTGAAATTGTAAATATCTGTGATATGGCTCACCTGCACAGTCGCTTAGGGAGGCTCAAGAAAAAATATTTGTTGCTTCGCGGTTGGTCACAAAACAACAACAACAACAACAACAACAACAAAAAAACAGTCATAGCCCAGCCTCCCCTTCCTCTGATAGGTAAAGGACAGTCCCTTCCAGTGCTTAGTAAGGTACTTGTACTTTAATCTCTCAAACCTTTTTATGAGACATACATACATAGGCTATATCATTTTAAAACACAACGGAAGGGGATCTTTAAGAATGTATGTGTGAATGGAGTATGCAAAGGGTTACACAATCTTGAAATCATGAAGCAAAACTGACATTAGGAAAAAAAAAATTGGACCAACTAGATATGGACTGATGCTTGTCAGTACATTGCATTTCCCCACCAAATGCAGTTAAAGCGATTTGGAAGTTTTTGTGGAAATAATAACGTTAACTTTGTCAAACACGGTTTGCATATCTCAAAATTCCAATGCCTACGTTTTCGGTAGGCCTATATCATATGCTTATATTTTTAAGTCCACTTGACACATTTCCGGTCATGTTGCTGGAGCTTGAAGAGTGAGTTGAAGTGACGCAGTGACTCTATCCTACCAGAGGGTGTCGCTGCAGGTCAACGACAAAAACGTCAAGGTGACTTCAAAATGGTGTTTAGGGAAGTTAGAGGTGGAACAGGAAGCTTCGTCGATGACTGCCATCCTGTAACTTACCAGTCGTGAAGTAAGTTTATTGTTACTGTGACGCCTTGCCAAATGAAATTTATAGTGTTTGTTATGAAATCGTTCTGCGAGGCTTTAAGGGTATTATTGCCCTTACAAATTGTTTTTATTAGCATTGGTTAGTTAGCAGGTCAAAGTACACACAGCTGTAGCAGCACCTGTAACAGGCATGACAGGTATGAACAGTCAAGTCAAACTGTCGGTGTACTGCTGTCTCGCTCGTGACTCGTCACTTGTCACTCCAAATATTTTCTCAATCATAAGTAGTACCTTTTTAAATTATAGTATAGCTTACCAATACACCCAAATGGATTTTTACAATTTTCATTATAGTGTCATAACTTGAAATGACTTCTCGTCCATGAGACATGAACAGTGTGACCTGAAAGTTAATGTTTAGCTCAAATTGGGTTCATCTGCATTGATTACCGTAAGTGTCCCTCACTACAAGGAAGTATCAGGTTGCCAAAGATCATAAGTCACCCTCTACTTATTTTTCTGTGCTTGCACAAGGTAGCCTACTTTAAATATCCAGAATTGTTGATGTAGTCTGGTGGAAGGACATTTTGCCCTGCATGAGAAAACTGGACAAAATACAGTCAGTTAGGGATGATTGCTTATCATGGCACCCAGTCTCTACAGATGTGATTACATTCATTAGGTCAAGGGACATATTTGTTGTTTGTTAGTGTTTATAAACCACTGTACATGTGTAACTATCCTTTAAACAACTGTATTCCCTTTAAGAGGCCATGTTTCCAGTAGACCTTCCAGCTGTGAGTGACACTGACCTGAGGTCAGCATCTGAACTGTACCTCTCTTCTTTGGAGTCAAGACCTCATAATGATGAGTGGTTTCAATTATCACATACTTCAAAGGTACCATGACACACTTGTAACGACCTCAGTTTTTCATTATGACCATGATTGTGTGTGTTGTTTTTTTTTTTTTTTTTTTAACTATTTCCAGTTAAATGTACACAATATAAGTGCCCCAGGAATGAGACCTAAAACCCAGAAGTAAGTTAGCATTTTGGCACCTCAGGTTTCCTTGTCTAAAAGTCAGTGGGTTTTTTGAATGGGTTTTTGGTTAGATGCCTGAAATAAGGTCTGTGGTTAACATAAGCCGAAGAGGCTTTCACTTTTTTGTCCTACTATGTAAAATACATCAGTAAATACCCCACTGTGAATTTTAAGCTTTTATGTAGGCCTATCTTAAAAAAGGTGGTTGTTCACAAGTTGCTAAATGAGACTATAGAACATCATCAAGCCGTACACAGCTTTACAGACCATAGACTGTATAAAAATGGACAACGCATCTCCACTTACCCCCACTGTACAGAAGTGAAGCTAAAATATACCAGATTAGGCTGCTGCCGCCTTGCACTGTTGACATCTTTGGAGACAGAATCTGGGCAGTACCGGTGGACTTCATTCATTCATTTGTTCGTTTAGCCTATAAACTAATGATAGCGTTTTACTTCTGGTGATTGCATTTGATGATTGATGATTTTGCAAATATCTGCAAATATTCTTGACACTGATTTGTTGGTGGAGCTTAATGTTTTGTGCAAGGTTGGTAATTAGCACCAGCCACCAGCCAAATGCTGGTGAAATATGGAAGTGGCTGCCAGAATTGCTGCATTCACCAGCCAAAAAAACATTGGTAATCTATTGAGTGGCTGGTAGATTTTGGAATCTACCAACCACAGAATAGAAGAATAGAAATAGAATAGAAAGCCTTTATTGTCATTGCACATTAACAAGGATGCAAAATACAGATAATAATTGAGTTTGTATAGCAAACAACATTTGTGCAACACTGTTCAGGGTAGTGATGGATTGTGGAAAGAAGCTGTCTCTGAGCCTTTTTGTCCTGGTCCTGATGGACCTGTAACGCCTGCCTGAGGGCAGCAGGACAAACAGGTGTAAACAGGGTGGGTGCTGTCTCTGATAATACCCTCAGCTCTGCTGAGGCAGCAGGATGTATAAATGTCCTTCAGAGAGGAGAGGGGGCAGCCAATGATCTTCTGAAGGTGGACAAAAAAAGTTAATTTCCCTCCCTGGTTTTGCCTCCTGAAATGCTTCTTTCAAAGTACAGTCATTTTGCTTGACATCAAAGAAAAGTATGTTTTAGAAAAAAGTACAGAGTCTTTGTTGCTCCACTGGTGTCTTTAGGTCGAGGAGTGTAAATGAATGAACGAAATCCTCTTCCTGTCTGCTCAGGTAGCGATAACAGCAAACAATGTAAGGTGGTTGCAGCTGTTTGAAGGTGATCAACCCGCCTGTTTACTGTTGGCACTTCACCCTCCTGATGATCCAACACAAGGTTTGGAACTAAACTCACTGCCCTTATCCACACTTGTTAAGACAAAGACTAATGTTTTCTGCTCTCCCTTCCAGTGGTGGCTTTATACCTGCATGAGAAGTGGTGGAGTGTGGATAACATCTTACGAACGTCCAGCAAGTCCAGAAGTGGTCTGATTTCGGTAACCATGTTTTTACACACCTGTTTGTATGTTAGCATCACTACAGCACAGAGCAGGGTTCCTACACAGGTGTGAGCATTGTGGAAAGAAACAGAATTATCTGTCTATGTAATCAGTCTTATTCATTATGTCTCAGTGCCAGCGATAGTTGTAGCCAGAAGCATTATGTTTTTAGGTTGCCCATATGTACGTACGTCCATACATCTGTACATCCGTCCCAATCTTGTGAGCGCGATATCTCAAGAACACATAAACGGAATTTCTTTAAATATGGCTCAAATGTTCACTTGGACTCAGCAATGAACTGATCAGAATTTCACAGAAAAACTCACTAAAGATATTTTTGTCCATAACTCAACAATTTATATGCTAATTATGGGATTATGATTGGGATCTTTGATGATTCTCCTGGCCCTATTGTTGCAGCATCTGGAGTAAACATCCTTTAGGGTGGATAGAGTAGTGCTCTATCAAGGCTCTATCCCCTCCAAGATGTTTGCAACACATACAAGTTAAACCTGCAGAGACACGGAATTTCACACACATGAACCCATTTCCACTGAGTCTGTGCCCTTACCAAGGTGGAGGGGTTTTCACACTGATCTATTGAGAAATCCCTCAGACTAATCCATGCTCATGTGAGACAGATGCCTAATTATGGAATGTGTATGTTTGTTCCCAAACTGGATGAGCTCTACGAGCATAAGATTATGAGTTTTTAAAGCAATTTAGCAGCATATCCTAGAGTTTCTTCACCATTTTGCCTGAGAAGCTGTGTCGAGAAATGATCCATCGATCCTGTCAACAGTGGAACTTCTGTAGAGTGATGATGTAAGATATGCCAGAGTTGAGACAGGAGATGGAGGTGAGTTTAGTTCAGCCAGTCACATATAGATCTTCATTGAGGAAGGAAAGAGGTGGAAAGGACAGAACAAGCTCAATAAATGTGGGGTTTGGAGCTAACATGAACATGTGCTAATTTGCTCATTTATGGCCATGTAACCTGTCAGAACTACACACCTCCTTAATGCTGATGTCAGCATTTAAATGCACTTGACATTTACATTTTCACCTTCCAATCAAATTACCTCTAGACAGGACTATTGGTTAATTGATGTCCAGCTGCAAATGTTTCCTCCATGTATCATCTGTTATTACAATGTTCATTTCCAGGTCCCATTTTTCTTTGAGATACAGTACAAGTTATTGTATTCATGCTGTAGTGCTTTATACATTTTGATATAATCCCTTTTTTTTTGCCCATAGCAGCTCCTGTAGTTTGGTTGGTATCTTACAAATATTCTCCCACTCTACAAGTTCCTGAAGATAATGTCTAAGTTGTAGAAATTTATAAAAATCATGTGAGGATAGATTAAACTCCTTTTTAAGTTGCT